CTTAATTATAGAGGTAATCTGGGTGCAAAACATATAATGCAGGTTTTGTGTAAAGAGGCCTTTGAAAATCATTGATTTGAAGTTAATTTTAAACAGTTTAAATATTTTTGGTTTCATATCTCAGCACTAGGTTTAGAATAAAAATTTTTCACTTTCCTGATCAATCAACAAAAGTAAGTCATAAGTAACTGAAAAGGAAGTCTTTACTTGTACCTGCACATGTGTATGTATAAAGTTTTTAACCACAAACCATCCTCTTGGTTGCTGTATTTAAGTCAGTTTACTTTTCAACATTATAATAGATAGAGCTGCAACTTGCTTCAACTTGCAAGTTCTACTTCACTGTTACCTCATTTCTAATTGTTACTTTTTATATATATATTTTGGAAATATAGATGTGCCATTAGTAAAGGGCAATTTTCTTTCATCTTTATTATGCCCAAATGATTTTTATCCAAATTGTATTAGAACTTTTCATCAGGATTTACATTTGCTTGTTTTTATTGTTTCAACTGTATATAATTAATTTGACTGTAGATTAGGTTTTTATGCAATCCTGTAAATAGGAAATGTTGTACTCTTTATACTATAAATAATATACATACTAATGTAGAGACTGTATATTTTGAATTGTGTGTGTGTTATTTTGACACAGTTTCATCATTAAGTCCTATTTATCAATAAGCTTATTGTCTATAAGGGCCATTTCTTAGGAATAAGATAGACGTGTTATAATCTTCTTAAGAAACCTATTCTTTTTAGTAATTGATCAACATAACTTCAGTTGAGTTACTGCAATTCTTGGCATACATTTCTGGACCTATAATCTATACCAACGTTTTAAACATTAAACTTAAAACTCAGGGGGAAAAAGGTTCTTCAACTTGAGATCTTCTCTCCAGATCTCCATTCTTTGGAGTTTCCATGTGTGTGACCTGAAGAACTTGGAACCATTGAAATTCAAATGTAGGTAGGTAAGTGTTCACACCAGCGCATGCGTTGATTGCCTTATATTTCTTTGTATATGCATCTGTATTGCACCCCCTCAGTGCCTTTCTTCCTCTTCCTCCCCATAGATCATGCAGGGCCTGTGTCATCTTGATATTATGTAATTTTGTAATTCTGTATTTTGGTCAGTATTTGTCTGTGTTGTGTGTCAGGAGCAATTTTTAAAAGTCTTCAGACATTTATGACATTGTGCTGTCTAAAGACTGTCTTTCACACATAAGTGTTTGCTGTGTATGGGCCTTGGTTGCATTTTTGTGAATTGTGTTTGTTGAGCTCTGACAACATTCCCTTGGAGTTGCTGGTATTCTTTGAAGGATGCAAAAAGTCTCAGTCTTGAATTATGTTACTTATTTTCTCAAATCTAGAGAATGTGAACTATTTCTGGTTCTAAGGATTTCTTCCAGTTAGTCTTTAATTTAAAAGTCATATTCCTGATACCATTCACAATAGCATGAGTGTCAGCTGCTATCCTTTGAAGTCTATTCAGAGCTTTCTTTGGGCAATAAGAAAAAGTGATTCAACTTAATCATTTGCTTCCAGCAATAAGTACTAATACTAATTTATTCCACACAAACAGGACCTCTACTTAACCCTCAAAAAAACTATTTATTGATAACGTAGTAAGTTGTAACTGAAATAGGCAAACAAATCTAATCATGAAATATTTTCCTAGGCTTAAGTAGAATTTCTGCTCACATAAGCAAAATGAGATGTTCAGGTGCTTAATTAATGTTATTTTGCTCAAAATATCTGAGCATCACAATCTAGGATTCCTACTGTGCTTTTAGTTTTACATTTTTTCTGTTGTCACATCTGCCAAGCATATCATTGAATTTCAGAAATTCTTTTTCCATATTGTTTTTCCAATTCCTATAAAAATCAGGTAATCTGTTGGCAGTGGTTCTTAAACTTTTGATCTCAGAACTCTTTTAGACACTTAAAAATTACTGAAGATCTCAAAGAATTTTTGTTTATATATATGGGTTATATCTATCAATATTTACTATATTGGAAATAAAAGTGACAGTTTTTAAAATTATTTAGTATTGCATTTTACTATCTTAATCTACCATTATAGGTTAAGGTAAATAGCATGTTTTTATGAAAAATAACTTTAAAAATTTTTTTAACAATTGCTGAGAACAGCATTTATTTTACTGTGAATGTATGATGGTAAAGAATACAATGACTACTAATACAATTTGGTGCCACTGACTGCGTTCATTCTAATGCCCCAGCAGTTTTGCCCACTAATGTTTTTGTACCATCAGTGCAAATGTCAATACAGTGAAAAAGGCAAATCAAATCTTGGTATTTTTATGAAAGTAGTTTTGACCTGGTGATCTTCTGAAAGGGTTTTGGGGACTCCACTTTGAGAACCATGTTCTAGGATGCTTGCTTATCTCGAAATGAAAATTTGTACCAACCTGTTTAAGTTTTTTCCCTCTTCTGGGCCTCCATTATCAAAGGAGGATGACTTGCCTGTAATTGGTATGAACAGATTTTAGAGTTACTTGAGTATAATTTTTGTTTTAGTTACCATCATAGAAATGGATATAAAAGAAAGCACCTAAGTGGTCCAAAATGAGGTCTGTCCATTGGATGACTATATATTTTTCTCTTTACTTGTGTGTGGTATGTGTGTTGTATGTGAGTATACAATCAGTTTGGCTCTTGGGTAGCTTGAAAACACATTTTCATGAAGCAGTGTGATTTTCATGAATTATGGCAATTCACACCATATGCCATTGGGCTATGCTACTTTTTCTGCTGATCTACCACAATATCAAATATTACTGCTTCAATTTGTATGCCACAGATTGTATGAAACTCTGTAATATTTCTTAACCTTTTGTCCCTCTTATCCCTGGAACCAAAATTCATAATATTGTAAAATTAGAGAGCATTAGAGATGCTTAGTTAAGAGAACATGAAGAATATCTAAGTGGCATTCTCTGTTGAGTTATCTCCTTCACAAATTTTGTTATTCCTCTAATGTCCCTGGACTGTTGGATTTTTATAGTTTGGACCAATAGTACTGAGGGGGTGTGTGATGCTTACATATATGCAAACACATAGTGGAGTTTGACTCACTCAATGCATGCGCTAGTGCTCACGCTTACGTACCTGAAAATTAATGATTCAGTAGCTCTGCGGTATTTGAAGAGGTAGTCAAAATGAATAAATAAATAAAGTTAAAAATACTGCTAAAGAACAAGAATCTGCAGAGGTGGTCCAATAGTAAGGAACTCTATCTACTGGTAAGTAACCAAAATAATTTCTAATATGGAAAGCTTCTTGGTACATGATCTTTAAAAATACTATAACCACAATACAATATTCTGCCACTGTAACACATAAGTATAATACTATAATAGATATAATATTATAGGTATAACAAGTAATTTGCCTGTAAGATAATATAAGTATTGTGAGTCATTCATTAATTACTAAATTGTAGAGTTAGAAAAAAATATTTAGCATCAAAAGCATAAAAACAAATCATTTAGTTGAATATGTTCTTTTATATCTATCTCCTTTTAGAACAGACATCATAATTCCATTGCAAATTTTGAAATTGTTTTAGACTATTTGAACTCTAAATGTAAACTTAACTTTGTCTCAGGCCTTGTTTCCTATTCTTGTTTTGGTAATAGACCCCTTTCTAGTATAGTATAGATGGTCCCCACAGCCGAACCAGATAATATCCATAATTACTGTCAGTTTTCAGGGCTGATAAGCCTCTGTTGGCTGTCTCTTCATACTTCACTCTAAAAGCAGTAAAAATTAAGTACAGAGACCTCCGGGCAAGTAATCAGTTGGCATGTGAGACAGCTCAACCTTGCCTTTATGTTCTTTGCTGACGGTTAAGAACTAAGAAGAGTGACAAAGAGATTAGTACGCAAACTCCGTCAAGGGATGCATGCTAAGAGGAAAATGTGTTGTAAGAAACAGATTTTTAATCTTTAAATTCCAAGTAGGTAACTTAAAAGAATTTAGAGAAAATTATTAACTTGAAAATGGCATATAATTTTTAAAAGGAAAAGAAAAAAATTTTGAAGGCATTCCTTTATCTTTAGATGAACCAGTTATTAACAGTAATAGTGTTTTGCATAGGCATGTGAGTGTTTGTCTTTCTTCTTAGCTTATTCTAAGAGGCAGTACTTCTGGTTTTCATTTTGATTTATTTACCTTCAACTCTACTGCTATAGGTATTCGATTATCATTGTTCATGAAGAGCCATTGTGGAAATCCAAGGCATATTAAGTACTTTAAAACCAATTAGTTTCTTAGAAAATGAAGGCAAGCAATGATGACAAAGCCATATTGACCTCATTCTCTTTACCTCTAAGATGATTGTCACTGTTATTAAATAAAACTTTGAAAAGAAAAATATTTTAAGTAACCAGATTTTTTTTTCCTTCTTAAAACTACTTTCCTTCCTAACAGTCATCAAAGGCTGCAAATAAACAATAACCTGTGTGTGTTACATACTTTTCATTCTTTATTATGGAGCAACTATTTTTAAGGGATTCTAAGACTTTTTTTGTCTTAATCTTTATTAAAATTGCTTTTTTTCTTACGCTTTTCATATACTCTGTGACTTCCTGTAATGCAAATGTTACTTTGTCTAACCTTTTAACTTAAAAACCAGTGGTAGTGTTTAATTATTTATACATTTTAAAACCTCCTTTGTATAGATATAAGATCATGTTTTTTAAAAAAATTAGTGATTTGACATCTTATTTGAATATTTTCATTTCTAAGTGTCTTTTAATCATTGAAAAGTTTTAAAATTCAACTCTTCTGAACTAATGTCTTAAACATTTTCAAGGCAGTTATATGAGTGGACTTAATCTTGCTTTACTCTAATTGAAGTAGTGTTGAGTTTGCAATAGAGAGAATAAGAGGTGTTTTCTTCTTACTAATGTCCATTTAATACATAAACATTTTTTTTGTGTTTTGTTTTTTTTTTTTTTTTTTTTTTACAGATTCCCTTCAAGCTCAGCTTATCAACATGGGTGTTATTCCTACCTTAGTTAAATTACTGGGCATCCACTGCCAAAATGCAGCTCTTACAGAAATGTGTCTTGTTGCATTTGGCAATTTAGCAGAACTTGGTAAGTCCTAGCCATGAGTCAAAAATGTAATTAACTTATTAATGTACTTATAATAAATTTTCCTTTAGAGGTTAACCTGGGAATCTTGTTTATATTAGTTTTTTTTTTGAAGCATTGTAGATACATTGTTTCAATGTTAAAAAGTGTAGATCCAATTACACCTTAGGATTGTATTGTTTATAATTGGAGCTAGTTTGCTTTCCTAATTGCTTTATGTATTAAGGTTTAAAGTTTATACTTGTATACTATTTAATGAAATTGAATATTTAAAATGATCTCCACTTGACTTTAGTATTCTTAACGTGGTGGTCTTAAAGTCAAGTATTGTATTTCCAGGGCAAAAATAAGGACCTCATAATTTATTATGTTTTGTATGAACTATTTGCTTATCAGGTGAAAAGGAATCTAGCAGACTAAGGTTCTTCCCTCTCTTTTTACAAAATCCAAAAAAATAATAGAGAACTTTTTCATCAGAATATGTTTGTAACAGAATTTGAAAAAAATATGAGAAATCCTTAAAAATCAGAAGGTGGGCAGAAACAGACCAGTGCTGGCAACACAGCCCAGTCCTAACAGAGGGAGGACTGATGACCCCAGCACCCCCATCTCTTTTCCCTGTTTTATTTTTCTCTATATCATGTATATTACCCTTTCTTCTTTTCTCTCCTTCCTCCCCATAATTCTTGATAGAAAGTTACAACTCCTGGTCTAAATCTACCCCACAACCATGTTCATAATAAATTGTTCATCATGGGGACAGTGAAAGCAAATGATGTTTCATCATAGCTAAAAGTAATAGCTATATCAAATGAGTAACTCAATTCTATTAATATCCCCATTTTATAAATAAATAAACAGAAGCACCAGGACTCTAACCTTGGTTTTTCTAACTGAAAGCTCATCTCCTTGCACACTCACATTAAAATCTTGATTTCAGTACTTTACTTTTGCTTTGACTTCAAGTTAAGGGAATAGGGATTATTTATCAGAGTTAATTTTTAGAAGTCATTTTTATTCAGTGGGTCATCTCCTGGCATTTGTGAATGTTTCTTGTCTTCTCTTCTGCTTTTTTCTTTTTCATACTGTCTCATTATTTCCATCATTCAAGTAAGGCCAAGAATGAAAGAACGTTCATTTACTGTTTTACAAGTTAGTTTCCATTATTAAAATGGAATGTAGGAGTTTGTGTTCAGTATACTTTGTAGAATTAAAACAAAGTATGTTATAATCCCTGATAATGTCATAACCTTTGTAACAGAGACAGACACCAGTTAATATGAGTTACCTGTGTTAAGGTGTCGGGATTTGTTTGGGAAATTGTATAGACCACCTCGATTCTGCATACAGGGAGACCTGGGTCTGTATTAAAAGATGGATATGCACCCAATTTAGTTTGGCCCAATTCCATACTCTGGTCCCAGCTGTTACTGCCCTTATCCCATATGGAGAAAGAAAGTATAAAAGAGAAATACTTCTTCATTTACTAAGACTTCTAGAGTATATATCATGAGTCTGTTATGCCCATGTAATAGCTAAGATATACATCAACACTGAAATAAAACATGTATGCCCAGGATACATGTTTTCTCCTTTCAGTGTGGGCTTTATTGCCCGTGAGTTAGCAAATCACCTAGTATTATTTTATGGACACAGGTAAAGATCAAGATCATATCACATTTATATCACACACTTCTGAGTATGGCATATCATTAAATGCTAGAGTTACTTTTTGTCAAAATTTCTTAATAAAAATGTTAAATAGCAGAAATTTGTGTGGTTTTGCTCACTAAAGATATAATATAAAGACAAAATATAAAATAATTAAACAATTGCAAACTATTTCATAATTGGGGGCCGAAAAGGAATGTGCAGCTCTATCTTTTTATTCTCTTTCAGTCCTAGTTTATGTGCACACATAATTTTTCTATATTCACAATTATAGCATTAATCCAATTTTAAAGTTTGCAGATTTATTTAACATTATAGATTAAGCAGAATGGGATTTTTCCGCTTTTTATTTGGCTCCGCAATCTTATAAATAAAATTGTCTGCTTAAAATATTAGTATTTGGGGGGTTAGAGATGTTAGAATGAAAATCTGCACTTACTTTCACTCTCTTCTGGAAACCAACTAAAACTGCAATAGATTCTTTTTTAAATGCAAAACCATCAAGGAAAAGAAAGCGGGGTTGGTGGGGGGACCAAGTAAAGAGGTTAACACAGAAACTTTTTAGAGCCCGGAAAGAAAAGCAAGCAGTAACTCACTTAGCAAAACTTTGAAATCTAAATCCTGAATTGGAAAACCAAGAACTAACCAGTTTGCTGTTTGGAATCTTCAAAAAGTTTAGGATTTGGTGGCATCAAGATTTCTAAACCTTCTTTCCCTTCCTACACTGTGGTAACTAGCCCTTCCTATCTAAGCAGAAGACTGTGTTTACTCTCTGGAGAGACTAAAAATAGAGGGTTTGTACACTGGGGACATCAGACTAAATGAAGTAAGAGGTACCATTCTGAACACAGTTAAGTGAAGGTAGGTATGCTTAATGGTCCCATTTGTCCTTTAGAACATGGACTTAAAGATGCTTATGTTGGAGTTTCTCTACAAAAGAGCCATCTGACCTACAGGGAATCTTCAGTCAACAAGGCCACTCATAGATTGGCATTGACATATATACACTAATATGTATAAAATAGGTAACTAGGGCTTCCCTGGTGGCGCAGTGGTTGAGAGTCCACCTGCCAATGCAGGGGACACGGGTTCGTGCCCCGGTCTGGGAAGATCCCACATGCCGCGGAGCAGCTGGGCCCGTGAGCCATGGCCGTTGAGCCTGCACGTCCACAGCCTGTACTCCGCAGTGGGTGAGGCCACAACAGTGAGAGGCCTGCGTACTGCCAAAAAATAAATAAATAAATAAAAATAGGTAACTAATAAGAACCTGCTGTGTAATATATAAATTAAATAAATAAGGCCACTCCTACTCATAGATCCTAATCAGTTTTTAGATCCCAGTTAATCAGTGGCAGACAAGCAGAGAGGTGACGACAGCCTGTAAATGGAAGATAAATAAAAAAAGGTAACTCGGAGGAAATAGAAGCTATGCAGCATGGGGGTGGGGGATACTCAAACATGCTCAGATAAATGAGAAAAATGCTGTGATCATGAAACTAACAGGACAAATGAAAAAGCTAGAACATTAAAAACAATAGCTAAAATGAAAGACAATAAAATGTATGGAGAAATATTTATAGATATAAAGCAAAAAACAAGGATATGGAAAGTAGAAGCAAAAATATAGAGGATCAAACGGAGAGTTCTAGAAAGGGGTAAATAGGAGGAAATGGCCAAATAACTCAAGTACCACAAAACTAAAGTATATATTTCTCCAGATTGGAAGAATCTGTCAAATGCCTAGCCTAGCAGATGAAAATTAGGCCCCCAGACCATGGCACATCAATGTGAAGTTTTAGAATAATGGGGACAAAGAGAATCTTTTACAGACTTCCAGAGAGAGGGGAAAAAGTTACATAAAAAAGATGGTGAATCAGTAGACGTCAGATGTATCAAAACAACACTGATAACCAGAAGAAAATGGAATATTGTCTTCAAAAATTTGAGTAAAAATTATTTCCAATATAGAATTCTATATGCAAACCATCAGTCAAGTCTGAGGTTACAATAAGGACATTGTCAAACATGAATGTCTCAAAATTGGTGTCCTACATCTTTCCTGGAAGCCACTGGAAGATGTGTCCCACCAAAACAATAATAAGACTACATAGGAATCAGGAAACAAGAGATACAACAGGAAAATAGGAGTTCCTAGTATTATGGTGACATGAGAGCCCCAAATGGCCTATTTTCAAAGAGCAACCAGTCCAGATTGGGGAAATTCTTTATGAGATGAAATTGATTGAGCACCTAAAGTGAACGAGCTTATTAAGAGAAAACTAGACAACTGACAGAGTGTGGAGTTGAACTAATGTAAGTACATTGAAAACTAAGTAAATGAGAAAAAAAAATTTCCTGGGAAATGAAAGTAATTCCAGGGCAAATGAAATAGTGTATCATTGAAACACTAGTTATTGAAATAACCAAAATTACAGTATAATTACAGTGAGAAGATGGAGGGTATTGTGGAGACAAGAAGAAAAGAAAGCTAGTGCTTCATCTTTCATAGTGGGAAGTCAATCAAAACTTAATATAAATACGTTATTTAAAGATTTGGAGGTAAATACCAGTGAATTAGCTAAAAGAGCTTTATGTGCTTATTTTTGAAGAAGAAATGGGCAAGGGGGACTTGATTCTGCCGGTAGTGTAAGTATTAGGACTAACTCTTTAAACTCATATATAATTTTGATTAAAAAAAAAAAACCCTTAGGAAATAAGCCTTCTTGCTAAAGGTCTGTTAAGGATCCATGGCATTTAATCCAAATATAATGTCCAAGTCATAATTTACACTATCTTTTCTCTGTATCCACCTGTACAGGATAAGTACAGGTTTTTTTCGTTAATTCCTATGTTAATCATAGTGCCTTGTTTCTTTGTGCTGGCGAATGACCTGAATTACTTAGCAGCAGTGATTTGGTTTCAGTTTAATAAGTAGAAGAATAAAATATGGATTGGAAAAAAGAGTGCTAGAACTATTACTTTTTGAAAAGAATAATAGCACATAACTAGATAAATGATGTCTATTTCACCTGTGATTTTATGTTTCATTTTATTTGAAGAATTGTCTGAAACAGAGGAGTAACCACCAGCGTTAAGGAGTTGAATCATTCCTATTTAAATCAAACTAACCTCCTTTTAGGGTAAGGCGGGCTGACGTTTGTAAACTATGATTTCTGAGGGTTTAGGTAGCTTATCAGAAAAGACACTTCACCCATACTCCTTTTTTTGTGGCACTAAGGAATCCTTACAAGTCTTGGAGTGGATTCTCATCATTTTGGCATAGATGTGGTACATGTGCCGAAAGCAGTGTAACAGTAGAGTGAATCAAAACTGTATTAAGCCATATAAAATTTTATGTTTCTCCATTTTCTTTTAAAGTTGAATTTGTAATATTTTTTATTTGACATTGGCAGAGATTTACCAGAGACGAGAGAGCAGAATATCGCTCTTACATTCATTTACTTGTTCTTTCAGTCACACATTCATGCAATCAATAAATTTCTTTTGAACACCTGCTCTCTACTGGGCACTATACTGTACACTGTATTTATGGTAGTTAAAATACTATACGCTGTCCGTGCCCTCAAAGAGCTTATAGTTTAGTGGGTGAGATGGAAATTTATTTTTTTAATGAATTTACAAATAAATAAGCATATAATTTTAAATTATGATAATTGCTAGTATGAGAAAGTAATTGAACAGGGTAAGGAACTAATTTAAATGACAGGCATAGACTCTAGGTGGGAAAGAGCATTTTCAGACAGTCAAAATTTCAAAATATTTATCTCCTATACACAGTACGTAGAAGCTTTCTCAGGAAGCTGCTGGAGGATGCCTCCACCAAAACTAAAACTGTGAAGGTGAAAGGACATAGATAATAGAGTATCTGATACAGGAGGGAGAAGAAAGCATCCATCAAGGTAATGAAAAAGAAATTCCAGGATGTCAGCTGTGCCCCACAAACATGGAGAGCAACCAATCTAGGTTGGATTTGGTCAGAATTCTCTGAAGGAAACTTCTAGATAAATTGATAGGAATCTGATGCAGCAAAAGAAACTGAGGAGAGACTTGGAGAGAAAAGGAATGGATTCTGGTTGTATTTTGGAGGTGGACTGGTAGACCTTGGCTATTCTTTGGCTCTACAGTTGAGTGAGGACAGTGAGCAGTGACCCCCAGGTTTCTGCCTGCATGGCAGGTGGCTAGGTGGCATGCTCCTTCACTAAATTATGGAAGTCTGGAGGAAGAACAGGTTTCAGGGGAGGATCAGAAGTCCACTTTAGACATGGAGTTTGGATGCTAGAGAGAGATTCAAATGGAGACGTCAAATGGCCAGTTAAAGAGCCCGGAGTCCAGAAGAGGGCTAGAGATACGATTATATAAGCATCAACATATAGGTGCTGTTTTATGCTATGGAAGAAGTTAGATTGCCTAGGGTGAGAGTAAGGCTCAAAAAGGTGAGAAGGCAAAGGATCAAGTCCCAAGGAACCACAACAGAATGTATAGAGGTCTGGTGCAGGAGCAGGAGACCGCAGAATGGAGAGGTGGGCCAGACTAGTCTGAGCTGGGTTTAGGAATGCATGTGAGTTGAGAAAGTAAAGACAGTGTATGTAGACAATGCTGTCAAGAAACTTGTTTGTGAAAGGGAACAGATTGGATGGTAGTGAATCAAAGTGGTGTAAAGGGAAGGTGTTTGTTTTTAATATTGCTATTTTTCTGTGAGAAATATTAAAGCACATTTAAACGGTGAGGATGAGGCTCTAGAGTGAGAGGCTGGAGACGGTGAAGAGGCAAGAGGGAATGAGGAATTGGCCTTTGATAGAAAAACTTGTTAGGGGCTTGCCTGGTGGCACAGTGTTTAAGAATCCAACTGCCAATGCAGGGGACACGGGTTCGAGCCCTGGTCCGGGAAGATCCCACATGCTGCGGAGCAACTAAGCCCGTGCGCCACAACTACTGAGCCTGCGCTCTGGAGCCCACAAGCCACAACTGTTGAGCCCACGTGCCACAGCTACTGAAGCCTGCACACCTAGAGCCCCTGCTCTGCAACAAGAGAAGACACTGCAATGAGAGGCCCGCGCACCGTAACGAAGAGTAGCCCCCGCTCACCGCAACTAGAGAAAGCCGCACGCAGCAAGGAAGACCCAAGGCAGCCAAAAATAAAATAAATTTTAAAAATAAATAAATTAGAAAGGCATGTCAAGAAGAATGCAAAAGTATACCACTGTATTGGTGTAAAGACAAGTCACCTTTAATTCAGCCATGTAAAATGCAGTCTGTTATGAGTAATTTTTCTTCTTTGACTAAAAGCCTTGAAACTATGAATTCATAACAGTAATTTTACTGTTGCTATGATTACCTATATGTTATGCTAGTGAACATTTATTTTATAGCCTTGAATAAAATTGGGCCAGAACATTTTCTTTAAAGACTTAGATGTTTTTCCTCTTCAGGGGCATTTAAAAAAATGGTTTTGATTGTTCCTGTATTTGAAGAGTGTTTGTACTTATCAGTAATGGTAAAAATGACCAAATATTGAAGGTAATAGAAAACAATTTCTGGGCTTAATTTTGTTTGCTTACTCTAAATTTCCCTCTTGTTTTTTGCAGAGTCAAGTAAAGAACAGTTTGCCAGTACAAACATTGCTGAAGAGCTGGTAAAACTCTTCAAGAAACAAATAGACCATGATAAGAGGGAAATGGTGTTTGAGGTTCTTGCTCCATTGGCAGAAAACGGTGAGAAAATAAATGCATCTCTTGATTTTTGATCATGTAGGCTTTTTCCATTTTTTTCTAATATTATTTAATTGCCAGCTATTTAACTCAAAATTCATTTTTTTTTATTAATGATGTGATAAGTTTTATTTTGGGTATCTCTAACTTCAGCTACATTATCTACTGCATAACTATATCTACATTGGCCAAAGCTACTTTCCAAATTTCTTTGATTTTATAATCTTGGCAAAGATGGTTCTGTAGCTTACACATTCTTATGCCAATCTGGAAAAGGCAGCCAGTAGGCTGAACTCCACTTATGTACCCTTGCAGGGCAAAAAGGTCATAAAAGTTGGAGTACCAGGCCTACCAACAGTGTGAACACTGGTAAACTATTCCTGTCTTTGAGCAAAAAATCTTAAGGGATACACTCTAGGAATAAGAGGGAACCAGAGTAAGCAAACCATCCCATATAAATAATTTTTCAAATACAGTGTCTAGCACACAATCAAAGAGGACCAGACACATGAGGAGACAAGACATTGTAAGCAAGAATCAGCACAAAGAACAGGCAACAGCAGCAAATCTCCAGATACTGGAGTTACTAGACATTGACTCAAAACAGGTATGTTTATTATGTTCAGAGAGTTAAAAACAAGCTTAAAATTTTTAGAAGGAAACTAGAAACTATAAAAAGTGGAATGAATAGCAGATTTGAAAAAGAAGCAATTGGAAATTCCTGAATTGAAAAATACAACCAAAATTAAGAACCTAATAGGGCTTCCCTGGTGCTGCAGTGGTTGAGAGTCCACCTGGGGACATGGGTTCGTGCCCCGGTCCAGGAAGATCCCACATGCCGCGGAGCAGCTAGGCCTATGATCCATGGCCGCTGAGCCTGCGCGTCTGGAGCCTGTGCTCCGCAATGGGAGAGGCCACAACAGTGAGAGGCCCGTGTACCGCAAAAAAAAAAAAAAAAAAAAAAAATTAAGAACCTAATAGATGAGTTTAACAGCAGATTAAATATAGTCGAATTAGAGAACCAGTGAACTGGAAGATAGAATGGAAGAAAATCCAGACTGAAATATAGAGAAATAAAAGACCCAATATACATGAGAGAGAATAAGAGGCACAGAGTATAAAGTGAGAGGGTCTCATATACATTTTTTGGAGTCCCAGAAGGAGGGCAGATGGGAGGGCAGAAGTTTGAAGAAATTTTGTCAGAACCCTTACCAGAAATTATGAAAGATATCAAAGATTCAAGGAGCCCAATGAATTTAAAACATGATAAAAAGAAATACACATTTCGATACATCATATTGAAATTGCAAAAAAAAAAAAAAAAAGACAAAAGTTTTAAAAGTAGCCAAGAAAAATATAGATTACCTTAAAAGAAGCAAAAGTTTGACAGCTAACTTCTCGACAGTAGCAATGAAATCCAGATGACAAACATCTTCTGTGTGCCGAAAGAAAATAAATTCAATCTAAAATTCTAAACCCAATGAAAATACCCATCAAAACTGAAAGCAAAATGAAGATATTTTCGGGTTAGAAACTGCAAAAGTTCACCACCAATATACCCTTACTAAAGGAAATTATAAAGGATGTTTGTTAGAAAAAAGGAAAATGATTCCAAAAACAAAAGGAAACTGACTCCAGAAGGAAGGTTATAGGTACAAGGGAGGAGAAGGAAGCAAAATAACCCAGTAAATATGTGTGTAAACTCATGAACATTGAATGTATAAAATAATAAAAATAATTCACTGTGCAGTTTAAAATGTATAATCTAAAATACACCACAGAATGAGTGTATAAATCTGGAGGGAGGTAAAAGCAGTTAAAGAGTCCCAAGACCCTTGTACTACATGGAGGAAAGTACTATTAGATTCTGGTGAATAAATGATTTCAAATTTTAAGGTGAACTAAAATAATTTTTAAAACCAGTGTGTAACTACCAAACTAATGGAAGGATTTATGGAAAGATTTTTTTGTTTTAATACCCCATAAATACTAATTAACAGAAGAGCAGAGAGAAAAGGGAACATGGAACAGGGGGTAAAAATAGGGCAGAAAAAATATGCTAGATTTATGACACAGTATTTCATTAATTACATTAAATGTATGTGACCTGAATGCTTTAGTTAAAAGACTAATCGTTAACTGATTTTTAAAAAACCAGCTTTTTTTTTAAACAAGCAACGCTTCTTAAGTATGAGGAGATTTAAAAGGTTGAGATTAAAAAGATTGGAAAAAATATACTATTCAAACCTAAAAAAGGCTGAGGTAGTTATATTAATATCAGATAAAAGAGACTTTAATATTAAAAGACTTGGTAGAGACAAAGAAGGTGACTTTATCATGATAAAAGGTCCAATTCTTGGAAGCTATAAAAATGTACATTATGTCAAAAGATATGAAGCAAAAATATTCAGAACTATGAGGCGCCCTAAATATCCACAAAAATCATTATAGAACAAACATTAAAAAATAGGAATATAGAAAATGTGGGCAACATGATTAAGAAAATTGATTTAATGGACATATTTTGGAACACTGCACCCTGCTTCAGAGCCCTTTCTTTTCAAGTACATATGAAACATTTAAAACATGTATACTGATGGAAAAAATATCAAAGGATTGCAATCTTAGAGTATGTTCTCTGATCTAAGTGAATTACAATAGTAAGTAATAATAAAAAGATAACTAGGAAATCCCCATTTGTTTAGATATTAAGAAATACACTTCAGATACCTTGGAGGTCAAAGAAGAATCATGAAGAAAATTAGAACATTTTTCTAATAATGAAAATGAGAACACTATCTCAAATCTTGTGTGTTGCAGGTAAAGCCATACTTAGGGATTTTTTTTTTCACTTTAAATGAATATAATAGAAAAGGAAAAAGCTAACATCAGTGAGCTCAGTATTAATCTCAGGAATTGAGAGAGGGAAAACATAAATGAAACCGAAAGAAATTACAATAGAAGGAAGGAAATACAGGAACTGAAATTAATAAAATAGAATATATGTAATGCAATATAAGCATATACTTGCCTATGTTGAGTCTGAAAAGACATCATAAAACTGGTAAATCCCTAGTAGGATTAATCAGGAAAAAAAGAGAGAGAAAGCACAAATAACCAAAATCAAGAAAACAGAGATCTCACTACAGATCTTACAGATATTCGGAGAATGTTATGAAAATTTGATGCCAATACATTTTCAAGTATGGGTGATATAGAATAGAAAAGCTGAGTAATCTTATCTTAATTTTTTTCCAGAATAGGAAAAGCAGATATACTCACCAATATATTTTGTGAAGCTAATAAAATACCAACAAAGACAATACAAGAATAAAAATTAAAGGCCAGTCTCACCATGAGCATAGATCCAAAATTCCCATAAACTTTAGCAAACAAAATCCAGTAATATATTTAAAAATTAATCATCATACCAAATTGGATTTATTCTAGAAATATAAAGTAGTTTAGTATTCCAAATGCAATCAATATAATTCATCACATTAAAACTTAATAAAGGCGGGCTTCCCTGGTGGCGCAGTGGTTGAGAGTCCGCCTGCCGATGCAGGGGACACGGGTTCGTGCCCGGTTCCGGGAAGATCCCACGTGCCGCGGAGCGGCTGGGCTCGTGAGCCATGGTTGCTGGGCCTGCGCGTCCGGAGCCTGTGCTCCGCAGCGGGAGAGGCCACAGCAGTGAAAGGCCCGCTTACCGCAAAAAAAAAAAACTTAATAAAGGGGAAAAAATCATATGATCTTGTCATTCAGAAAAAGCATTTTAGAAGATTAACCATCCTTCCATGATTTTTAAAAACTCTTTGCAAACCATCACTAGAAGAGAATGAAAAGAATATATAACCAGAAGCCTATAGAAAGCATCATACTGAGTGGTATAACAAAAAGCATTTCCTTTTAAGATTGGGAATAAGAAAGGTCATCCCCATTTTTATTTCTTATTGTATTGTAGGAACTATCCAGTGCTGTAGAGTAAAAAAGAAAGAAAGAAAAGATATAGGAAAGAAAGAAATAAAACTATCATTATTCATAGATATGATTATGTATATCAAAAATATACTGGTGGCGCAGTGATTGAGAGTCTGCCTGCCGATGCAGGGGACACGGGTTCATGCCCCAGTCCGGGAAGATCCTACATGCCGCGGAGGGGCTGGGCCCGTGAGCCATGGCCGCTGAGCCTGCGCGTCCAGAGCCTGTGCTCCGCAACGGGAGAGGCCGCAACAGTGAGAGGCCCACGTACCGCAAAAAAAAAAAAAAGAAAAAAGAATATAGATTAATTTTTAAAATTAGAATTTGGTTGGGTTGCCAGGCAAGACAAAGAAAAACATCTAAATACCAAAGCATTGTATTTTTACATACCAGCAAAAACAGAAAATATATTTTTAAAAATACACTGTTTACTATAGTATAAAAAGTGAAATATTTAAGGGAATTCCCTGGCGGTCCAGTGGTTAGAACTCCTTGTTTCCACTGCCAGGGACCTGGGTTTGACCCTTAGTCACGGAACTAAGATCCTGCAAGCAGTGCAGCGTGGCGAAAAAAAAAAAAAAGGAATACTTAAGAATGGGCTAATAAAAGATGTGTAATCTAAACAAGGTCTCTCTCCTTGTAGCCTTCTTCCTTAGCCCTTCCCCACTACTGTCTTCCTCAGGCACACCATTTACCAGAGGATTCGACTTTAATGCATGTAATAGATGTGTTTGTGTATGCTTATGTGAAATTGTATTGATATAGTTTCATGAATGTATCTGTTTATAATTTACACAAGTGACATTTTTCTATAAGTTTCCTTGTATTCTTAACTTTTGTTGCTCAACAATATGTTTTAAGAGTTATGCATAACATTCTGTTATATAAGCCTACCTCACTTTAATTATTTATTCTATTTATTCTTAGTTGTCAACAACCCTCATATCCAGCAAATACTGGATTTCATTGTTCATTTCTTCTTTGCTAGTTGTTCGAAAAGCAAGTGTTTCATTTGATTGAACTTA